TAATAGGGTTCAAAATAATACTCATTAGGGACTATTTCGACACATAATAAAAGATTCTGAGGACTAAATTGCACTTTTATGAATTTTGGGAAAAAGTTTAAATTAGTACTCAAATTATTTTAATAGGGGTCAAAATAGTACTCATTGGGAACTATTTCAACACATACAAAAAGATTTTGGGGACCAAATTGCACTTTTTGTGAATTTTGAGACTAGTACAAAGAATCAGAGGATCATTTTAACACTCATTTTCATTTAACTTCTTCAAATACCTATCTTTTTGCCCCGGAGGATTAACTCTAATTGATATATTAAAATAGAAACATCAATATTATTACAGAAACAGGTCACAAATTGAAGTGTTTCTAGAAATCAGGTCATGATTCGACCCGTTATGTGTTCCCAAGATACTTAGCTTTACTATGAATTTAGGTTGAAGAGTATATTTATAGTATATTTAGGTGTATCATATATTATCTTTGTTGCGAATATGGAAATCGGACAACTGTTCAAATTGACATTTTCTCATGTTTGGCAGTAAATTGGATTTCATACTCGAAATTAATTGCTAAATTAATTGTTTATAATTTCTTCTATGATTTGTTGTAGAAGAGAAAATAAAACAATTAATGAGTTTTATTAATTATTTGATTAATTCCTTAACGGGCCTAATGACATAATATAATTAATAAATAGGCACGCTAGCTCACCTTCTTATCCCTCTTCGAGCTATCCAGGTTCTTCTTCTGGTGCGCTTCGGCTTGAAGCACTCGGGTAGAGAGAGGGAGAACAAGAGGAGGAGAGGAGAGAGAAATAGTTCTTTCTTGTAATCGTCGAGGTGATCGACTGGTGTTGTTCCTCAAATTAATAAAATCCTCTGCAGCTCCGTGGACGTATGCAATTTGCCGAACCACGTAAATATGTGTTTCCGCTGTCTTTTCTATTTTGCGATTTTTCTCGATCCGATTTTTCACTTTATTGTCGTTGTTTTTTCACAACAATCTTAACTCTAATTATTTTTTTATCTAGAAAATAATGATCATAAAATCATTAAAGGGGCTTTTACAAAATGAAATTTTATGTGTGAGACAAGTAAATCAATAAGAATTTGGTGTTGTGTAAGTAATTACTAAGCCAAGGTGGCTTGCATAAGCATATATTGCTTAAAATTGAATTATAAATTTAAATATTTTTTATTAAGTTTAAATTTAATCATTTAGTCAAAATTCATTGAACAATGCTGAGATGATCACATAATCAAATCATGAAATTTGTGGCCCAATTATTTAAATTTCATAATATTTAAAATTACATAAATATCTATGTTTGATGTGATCTCTTTTATTAGTGATGCATCATAGGTCATGTCATGGCACATGTCATTAACGGTCATAAGGAAATGAAATGACGATGATCTTTTGAGCTAGTGACCCGGTGGTCTCGCCATAAGCCCGCTTTGATCGGTCAAAACTCAAATAAGTCTGACCCACTCCAAACCTGACCCGCCCAATGCCCCCGTTTAACATAAAACAATAAAACATGGATGACTTCTTAAGCTTGACTTCTTCTGCTTAATTTAAGTCATAAAAATGGTTGTGAATGTCACAAAAGGAGCCTATTGTTTTAAGTGGTAGTTACCAATCACATCTTATCCTTTAATCATATATATTAAGAAAATAATCACCAAGCAAGACAAAAAATAAATAATAATAATAAAATCTAAACTTACAAGAAATCATCCCATAAACTAATCATATTAAAAAAATAAAATCAATGACATCACTATCACATGTGAAATCAAAGAATGTCAAAATCTTTGCGCTAAGCTTAATTAGTAAAAAAAATATATTAATGTTGGAATCATACTTCATCATTATTTTTAAATTAAAATAGTTTAAAAAAAATTAATAAATATTATATGGTTGCTTGATCAATGCGTAGATAAATAATGACTTGTGAAACAAATTAGGATTAGTTTTTGAGGGATGTCTTTTCTTGGAGAATAAGGATCTTAGTTTGACTTGAGAGATTGAGTGTTTTTGAGAGAAATTAGGTCAAATTTTAGTTGAGATTGAGCTTTAAAAGTCATAGGTCACGCTTTCTTAAATCGTGGAGCTTTAAATTATGATCTTTTAGAAGAATCAATCACCGGAGGTGGATTGGAACCCCCGATCTCAGGGGACTTACAACTGACTCGCAGATGTCAACCAACAAGTTAGGGTACAAGATAGGTAGGTACATACATACATATATGAATGTATAAATATGCCCATTTACATACATATGACTTCATATGTATTTACATATCTTAAATCAAAACTTTAAATTTTACATCTGCATCAACCAATTCTTTTACATAAAAAATATCATTATTTTAACTTTTAGAAAAGTGAAATGTATATTTCTAATGTGGGACTAAACTCAAAACCGCATGCACTACCATAATCTCAACTCTCCACTTTGGCCATCACTCTTTGTCTCTCTAATAGATCACCCACTCTTGACTTTTATTCATTATAATGGAAAGATCAACTCTCATATGTATGTCTAATTGTATTCTTTTTTTTTTTTTTGTATTATAATCAAACCATCACTTTTGATTCCATTTGTCAACGAGAATGAACTTAAGGGAGGTCAAATTAGGGTGTAATATAATGTTATTCATCCTTAAACTTAACATAAAGGCTTAGCCTATGGTTAAGAGTCAATAACATAATATTTATGCCCAATACATTTTTTAGCTATATAATGGAAGACTAAAGGCAGTTTCATGCCTTAACAATCTCGCTTTCATATGCGAGCTCATTATGTACATTACATGTTATGCAGGATATTCATATTCTATACTTCCGGTATATGTCTATCTATTTTTATGTTCTTAAGTTGTAAGATGCCTGTCCAACATAGGGGTGTAATTGAGCCAAGCTAACTCGAGCTCGAATCGGTAAGTGAATCATGAACTGAGCACGATGAGCAAGTCGATATGAATGTTTAATTGTTTGATGCGTAAATAAATGGGAATTGTGCGGTATTTATGTAAATGCCCCTCTCATATATTTATGTTTCACTGTTCTATACCCAAATCAGCCTAGAAAAAATTATTAGATAAACAAAATTATCAGCTTAATATTTCAAATAAATGTTTAAAATATAAAGGGATGCTTAAAAGTCCAGATAAAATGAACCAAAAATAATATAGAATTACTGATTGCCAATTCTACACTTTAAAAGTAACGAGAACATAGACGACAATTTTGTCTAGATTCATTCCACGAATTTGGGAATTTTTATTTTTTTATTTGGAAACTCTTGGATAATTTGAATATAATATAATGTTTAGTAAATCAAAATATAAATCACGCCTGATTATCAAATTGGTTAAAATTTTAGAATTTTTTAAATATTTTTTAAAACAGTTATTAGCTTTTTTATAAATATGCAGTTATGAACTTCTATTGATTAAATAAAATAACCAAATAGCACTATATTCCCTAAGAGTCTGTTCGGAGTAACTGCATCTCATTAAAATGCTTAAGAAACTGCGATGACTATTACAATTTTTTTGTCTTTTAAGTCAGACCACAACTAGAAACTGACCGCAACTAGAAACGGTCACCGCATCTAACCAGAAGTGGTTGGAAAACACAGAGTTCAACGACAGCTTATGAAAAAGTTGTCAAAACAGAATTTGTCCAATAGGGAGAGTTTCGTTATATGTGTTGGGGGTGCCAGGGCAACGACCTCGCGGTACGGTACATGAGTAATTTTGTAATTACATATTATACACATTTAAAAATATATATGTGTATTGTAACCCTAAAGGAGTATGTTGTACTCTTTTCTGAAATTGAAAGAAAGTCGTCGCTCTGCTCCTGAAGACATAAACATCTTTGCTGAACCTCGTTAAATCTTTTTTTTTTCTTCTGGATTTGTGCCGATTCTCGTTTCTTTGCCATAAAATTTCACAACTCGAGCAATTTAATTCGCATGAGAATAAGCTGCTTGAGAGGAATGGAGTTAAGAAGCGAGTTATTCATTCCACATATACAGAAAATAATAATAATAATAATAATAAAAAGCTTTGGAATATTTACATACACACCACACAATTGCTATGTATTTACATATTAAAACCCTAAAGTTTGATATTTACATTTATAAAACTTCGGTGCCATTAAATTATGCATGCAAAGGCATATTCAAATTATTAAAAAATAATAATTAAAGTGCTTTTGATGTGATATTAAAATTCTGAATGTCTAAAATATAAATATGAAAGTTTAGGTGATAGATATGTAAATACATATGAATTGTGTTGTATGCATGCAAATGCCCCCCACATCGATTTTCGTTGGCCATGCACAATATATTGAAGGAAGATTTACGTAAGAACCACTCTATTCCTGTGCATTTACATATCTGACACCTAAAATTTAATTTTTTTGTATATGTCATATTAGATATGCATAAAAAAAGTGTATTTTTCATTTTAAGGGTTAAAATAATGATTTTTCTTACAGTGATATGAAAGACTTGGATGGTATACATGTACAATATAAAGTTCAGATATTAGATATGTAAATACGTAGGGATTGGTTGGTATGTATGTAAATGCCCCTATGTTAAAATGATACATAATCTACAAGGAACTCAATTAGAAATTGCAAGGAAAGTTAGTAATTCTACCAAAGAAAAAGGCATAGTTTCGTTGAAACATAAATATTGAGTTTTAACTCTTAAAACAATCTAATAAAAGGTATGATAAAACATTGAAATAGTATTAGTGTTGAATTCTTATTTGTGTGTGAATCACATCCTAAGAAGTAGAGCATAAGAAAGAAGAGAGACAGAGAGAGACAAAAGAGGAGTGAATACTGTTGAACAACAAATTGTATTAATCATGTAACCTCCGGTATAACCCGAATATAACTCCCCTACTCCCAGAATAACCTCTGATGCTGATGTATGAAGTCTTATCTACGCAAATATTTCTCGCTCCCGAAACCCTCGCCTTCCTGATCGAACCCTCCCCATACAGTCGCAAACCATAGCTCAACTCGCTGTTTAGTACTTCCTCGAGCTTCGATTTCTGCATCAGAAATGGCCGATCAGAGTGGGGACGTCTGCAGTTTCTTTAAGAAGCCTTCAAGGAACAAGAACATTCGGAAGAGGACTGCCACTGAATCCCCCGAAGATGAGGACAACGGCGACCGAAGTCCCCAAACCTCCCTCCCTTCTCAAAGACCAAAGAAAACCATTGCATCCGACAAGGCACTTCAGTTCTCCACCGCAGCTCCTTCCTCAAAGTCATCCGGTAACGATGTTGGCGAACCAGAGCCGAAGAGCGAGGCCGACATCTTCCACTACGAGTCGTCCAAGCTGATCCAGGTTCAGAATGACAGCGGCGCCACTGCTTCTCTACAAACCGAGACAGAGTTCGATCGTGACGCGCGTGCGATCCGCGAACGAGTCCTCAAACGGGCTGAGGAGTCTCTTAAGGGGAAATCCAGGTCGGAAACTAGCGACGCGAAGGTCTATCATGGCATTCACGGTTACACAGATTACAAGGCTGGATTCCGCCGCGAACAGACAGTTGCTGGCGAGAAGGCCGGCGGTGCGCACGGCCCGCTGCGCGCGTCAGCGCATATCCGTGTCTCGGCAAGGTTCGACTACCAGCCGGACATCTGTAAGGATTATAAGGAGACTGGCTACTGTGGTTTTGGGGATGCGTGTAAGTTTATGCACGATAGAGGCGATTATAAGTCTGGGTGGCAGTTGGAGAAGGATTGGGATGAGAGAGAGAAGGCAAGGAAGAGAGCTTTGGCCATGGGTGGCGGCAGGGAGGATGCAGGTGGTGAGAATGATGAAGATGATGATGACAACCTTGAGTTGCCGTTTGCTTGCTCTATATGTAGGAGACCTTTCGAGGATGCAGTTATGACCAAGTGCAAGCACTACTTCTGTGAACATTGTGCTTTGAAGGTATGCAGCTTCTATTGGATTTTCAAGTTTTTTTTTTTTTGCATTTGTGCATTAATCATTGTTAATTTCGTTAATAATAATAATAAAATATTTTATTTTTACCATCACATTAGTAAAAAAAGAAGTTGAGGAGGCTTTACAGAGAATCAAGGGCGGAAAATCAGTTGAATCTGATGACATCCCTATTGAAGTGTGGAAATATTTAGGAAGTTTGGGAGTTTCTTGGCTTACTAAACTCTTTAATATTATTTTAAAGATTAAAAAGATGCCTGGGGAGTGGAGGACGAGTATTTTGGTCCCCATTTTTAAGAATAAAAGTGATGCACAAGAGTGTGTAAATTATAGAAGAATTAAGTTGATGTGTCATACTTTAAAATTATAGGAGAGAGTAATTGAACATTAGGTTAAGACGTGATACAAAGTTTATCATAATCAGTTTGGATTTATGTCGAGCAGGTCTACTATGAATACTATACATTTATTGAGAGGTTGGATGAAAAAGTGCAGAGAGAATAAGGAGGATCTACACATGATTTTTATTGATTTAGAAAATTCTTATGATAAGGTTCTAAGAGAAATCCTTTGGAGAGTTCTAGAGAAGAAATGTGTTGATATGACTTATATTCAACTCATTAAAGATATGTATACTAGAGCTATTATTTGTGTTCGAGTAGGAGGATTGACCAAGTATTTTCCTATTTTAGTTGGATTACATCAGGGATCAATTTTATGCTCATATCTTTTTGCTTTAGTTATGAATGCTCTTACTAGACATTTACAGGAGGATGTACCTTGGTTATTCTTTTCATTGATGATTTCTTTTTGCTTTAGTTATGGATACTTTTTGCCTCACTTATTAATGATTTTCATCGGCTTTGCTTTTTTAAATTTGACATCTCACAATTTTATAAGCTGAAAATGTGCGACAAAAAGAACTATTCACTATGTTGTCAGGGAAACTTTTCCATAGTTTTACCAAAACATTTTGCTCATCTTTGAGAGAGTAGCGATGAATTTATGTCATAGAAAAGAAAAACCAGTACAGTATCATTAAGTTTTTACAGATATTCCGGGATGCATGATCACTTTTTGATCATTTGTTTGTTTTACTTTACCCTTCAAAGAAAGTTTGGAAATACTAAGCTTTTTTGGGACAGACTATTACACGCATTTTCTTTGTTAGTATCTCTTTATTTATTGAAGTTGATAGATGTTTTAATTTTTAAAACAAATAGCTGTATATGATTATGCAATGTATAGGATGCTTTTTTGCAGTAATGTTATAATGTCATTACAGGGTTTTTGTTTCAGTTTTTGCATCAACATTTGGAGGACCTTAATATCATGATACACTTGCAAGGATAAATTATCTTCAGTGATCAACAATTAGGTATTATTATGTTGAAAGTGAAAAATTCTTATCATTTAAGGATGAAAAAGGTCTTGAGACCATAACTTCTCTAAGTAGGAGAAAGAGAATGTTATCCTTTATTATATGTTTGTTAAACAAAGGCCACTCAGACCCATTGCTTGTTCAGTAGAATCCAATATAACTGAACATATGAAAAGTTTTCATTGGTTTGTTTTGATGTCTATGGACCCGAGCTTAGGTGATATATCGATAATGAAGATGAAGCTTGAGTGCAAATTGGGTGATGCCCAAAGTGCTTGATATTGAAGAATCTACCAAGGAGTTATGATTAAAGATGAAAATGTCACTTGGTAAAAGTTGTTATATCCTCGAAATATGGGTTGTTTTGTTCATTCGCATCTTTGAGTTATCCTTTGTTTTTGAAAATGTGATGTGTTGGTTGAGTAACATCATAATATCATAACAATTTAAGTATTAGCTTTGCTTTGGTTGGGTGTTATCAAAATGTTGATCGAGTCTATGAAGAAAGAGAAAAGTAGTTCTTTATATTTAAGAGCCAAATGAATTGAAAATTCGTGTTTTGTTTGGGAAAAGACGATAGTTAAAATAACTAATTTTTTCTAAATGATATATTATATAACTGAAAACATGATTGAGTACTATTCAAAATTTAGAATTAAATAGAGGGGCTATTGAATATTCTGGAAGAACATGGGCTCAATTATGGAAATTGATATTGATTAAGATTTTACAACACACTAGAATATCCTTGTTGGTGATCTATCGCTTTGATGACATGATGACATATGGTTCTTCCAATAGTGTAGTATTATTCATTGGATTAATCTTTAATCCTGCTTTCTTTTTGAAAGACTACAAAATGTTATTGTAAATTATTCAAATACTATCTATATAAGTAGTGATTTAAACCATAGGTTATTTGTACTCTAGCAACTTTATAGATGGCCAGATTTTGAATTTTTGGGGCGGTAGTGAAAAAAGTTTACAGATTTGTCACTTGTTTTGGTCATGTATTATTAGTGTGATTTTTTTGAATGAAGGTAGAATTATATTAGTCATTGAACCATTTGAAATTTCATTGGTGTATATGGAAAGAAATTAAACAAAATAATTGGTTGCTATTTTACAAATAGAGGGACACATAAATATAGCGTGCTCACTAAGAGATAAATGATGAAGTGAATAGATAAGATGAAAGTTTCTTTAATTGTAAGACTCAAGTTTTTGGTTCACAATCTAAAGTCACAACTCGAAGAGCCTTCCAAAAAAGGGTGAATATTGGTTGATGAGATGTTTGAAAGACTTGGACATCTGGATGCTAGCCATCTCAATTTCTAAAATAGTCCAAGCTATAGGCTCATAGTTACCTTTGAGCAATGTTTAAAATTGTGTTATTGGGTATTGAGTTATTTGTTTATAAGGTGAGATGTTATTCTCACGGCATTTTGAGGCATATGCCTCAAATTTAAAAAAATCACACTATAAACTGTGAAGTAAGAAATGATATATTAATATTTTATTTTATTAACACATTTAAAAGTAATATAACAATATCTAATTAAGTAAAAAGTAATAAATCGTAAATTAAGATCAACATGTTAATATCTTAACATCCAATTTTAAAATAAAATGAGTTATATAAATATCAAAATATCAAAATATCAAAGTAAACTAAGATATTAAAATAAAATACTAAATATCAAACATAACAATTAGATAAGTTCAATATTAATTTTTCTTTCTTGCTCATACTGTCTCCCACTTAAACAAGAATCTAACAAGGTATTATCATTTTAATTTGTAATTTTAAAACCCCTGTCACTTTTATCGCTCAATTGACTTTCATTAGGATTATTGGCATAATGAGTTGTTTATTTCACATCTTTTCCTTCCTCGTATCTATATTCCCTCATTTCTTATTATCTTTAATCCCAATATTTTTTATTTTTAATGAATAATTATCAAATAAAAACATCAATTAACTTTGTAGATAATTAGAATTTCAACAGCTTAAATTTTTATGGATACCTTTTCATTCTATTTATTGTTATTTATTTATGAGGTGTGAATATTAATAGATGGTGTATATTTACGAATAACCTAAAAAAAATTAGATGTTTTTTTTAAGTTAAGGCGTGCCTAGAGGCACGGTTCAACCTAGGTGAGTTGTATGCCTCACCTTGGGATTGTAAGCCCGTTGTTTTTTTTTTTTTTTGTAAAAAGCATTGAGGCGGGCCTTGTTTTGCCCAATTTAAAACATGAACTTTGAGTATTATAGTTGTCATTTTAACTTTTATGGTCTATCATACCAAAACGCTTGCAATTTGTAGATTGCACTAACATCTAGCTAACACCTTATTGCCTGCTAGAAGTGTTGTAGAAGAGATTCATAGGATGTCAACCATAGTGTTGTTTTTTGGTCTATCGTACCAAAACACTTGCAATGAGTAGATTGCATTAACATCTAGCTAACACCTTATTGCCTGCTAGAGGTGTTGTAGAAGAGATTCATAGGATGTCAACCATAGTGTTTTTCTTTGCGTGCACACACGCATTAAAAGATTTATGCTAGCTTGCCTCAATGAATGCTTTGAAAGAAAGTCACTCTAATTGTAAATTTAATAAGCAGATTTGAAGACTTAAGAAATGAGTCAAAATGACTCAACCAACCTTTTTAAGAAAATTGAAGGGCTTGAAGTGTAATACCTAAAATTTTTAACGTTGATGTTTTCCTTGTTTAGATTTTTTATGCTAGAAAGTTGGTCAAATCGAATAGGTAAGGCACATCTTTGGTTAGTTGATCTGATTCCATTCAATGCTAGAAGAATAGAAGCTGGGCCAATTCATATAGGAGTCACTGACTTGATTTAATATTTGTTGAATAGAGGTTTTAAGATTATTTTCTATATATTGAGTGGAAAGGTTGGTTCTCAAGTGGATGTAAAACTATTCATGAGTTACTCTTTGAGGTTGATTGCTTTTTTTGTAAATTGCCAAATAGACGTGCCAAATAAATTTACGGAATCATTTGCTGAACATGTTTGATGGACTTTCAAATTCTACAAAAAATTCTTTCATTCTCCATCCTATTTTTTCATTCAATACACATTAAGTCAAACAACAAGACACGTAATGTTTATCATAATAATTAAAGAGCTTGGAAGAAGCTTTTTAGAAGATTTGTTTCATTTTTGAGGGTAAGTAACCTAACAATATTAAATGCTTTTACTCTGATTAGAATTAGGAAACTGGATATAGTATTTGTGAAGACATTCATCCTATCCTAGCACAACTCTAAATAGTAGGCCATGTCATTAAGAGAAGGCCATTATTACCTCTTGACCTTTAAGAGGTGGTGTAAGGGCGCAAATCCTTTATTGTGGGTGAAGAAAAAAGCCGGGATGTAGGAGTGCGGTGGGGGATAATAAGGCTAACTTAACAAGCTCTTCCTTACTACTTTAAGGTGTAAATTCTTATTAGTGTAACACTTTATGCTGTGTAAAGGTGGTTTCATAGTTTTTTTTTTCTTGACATATTTATTATATTTGCATATTAGATACTTTGCTATGAACTTTGACTTAGCATGTGAATGAATGATGAGTAAAAG